TTCCCATCGCATCCAATCTCGTCAAATAACACAATATACACTATTCCGCAAATATTCCCTTTCTACCTACGACTCTGATCTAACCACACCCTATAACAAACCTTCCCATCGCATCATCTCGTCAAATAACACAATATACACTATTCCGCAAATATTCCCTTTCTACCTACGACTCTGATCTAACCACACACTATAACAAACCTTCCCATCGCATCATCTCGTCAAATAACACAATATACAATATTTCGCAAATATCTACATTCTACCTACGACTCTGATAACAAACCTTCCCATCGCATTATCCCACCGCATAACACAATTCACAAATTTTCGCATGCTATATCAGGCGGCCGATGCCGCCGCAGTTGCAGCGACAGATAAATCAAAGTTTGACCAGCCACCCCAGAAGAAACACAAAAAGGACACTCGACTGTATTTGGATATGACAGTGACTCCGCTGTTGTTTGAGGCGCTCACAGAGCTAGCTGAAATCAGGTGAGGTTGATTTGAATTCTACTTTCTATTTGGTTTTGGTTTTGTGAGGTTTCGTTTAGGTCCGGGTTATGACTGACCTTCTTATATGGTGCATTTATTCGGATTTGCGAATTATGTATACTTAATATCACAAGGGCGCTGGTTTAGGTGTTGTATATATATATATATATATATATATTTATATATATGTCAGCTGATAAACTAGGCACAATGCATATGAACCGATGTAGCGAACCCCACGCTGCTTCCCTGATATGTTGTGTGGGTATATATACATGTGCATCAATTGCAATTATGTGATTCCACGCACTGAGTCTTTGGTTTATTCATTTTCGATTCGCACTGTACATTCAGGCCGGACGATCCCGTACAGTATCTGGCACAATATCTACTAGACAACAAACATCGTGTGCTAAGACCCAATGGCGAGGATGATGAGACGGGCAACAAATAATAGAGATACATACACTTGAGTATATGACATGCCTATCTCTATATATAGATCTGCGCCTACATCTGGGCGTATAGATGGCAATGTATATACACGTGTACACAGTTTTACAGCAATGTTCGCTATACAAACGCAGGCTGCCCGATGTCTGTCGCGGCTCCCGCCCGATCCCCAGCACGAGAATGACATAACTAACAACCTCTTCTGTTAAATAAGTGGAGCGGCTTTTCCGAATCCCTGACAATATGTTACCGACAACCTCCGCGCATACTACGTACCGTAGTAATCGGGCAGCACTTATTGAGCGTAGGCGATACCCTACAACCACATGCAATGGTATAGTGATTAGTATACGCATGATACAAACGGTTGAGCAAAGTGATTGGCTCTTGGGGCGTGCGCTTATCCTGCATGCTTGAGGTATCTGAACATATGCGCCTTCACGTCGCATGCAAGGAAAGTATATGAGTTTTCGCCACACACTTCGGGTCCGCTATTGCCGATGCACCAGGTTCATCTTCTAGCTCCTCCGTTGTTTCGGTCACATGTGCATGGATAATACGTATGTGCATGGGGGGCTGCGGTAGCAAGCATGTATCGTGAGAGAGTACACTGTACTCTCTCACACACACGCGTTTGGCAGCCTCTCATAGTCACAATAAAGAAAAAAACAATGAGCGGAAGCACACAATACAGGAGAGTTAAAATAACGGAACAGTGGAAGATAATAACTCGATAGAACTCAACTGGTACGGGATGTATGGACGCATGTACAAGCACGTGTGGCGATACTCATTAGTGGGTAAAGAACAGTTCAATTGTGCGAGGGTTGTGAGCTTGCGATGACCTTTCGGAACACATAGGCATGGGCGATTTTAAGGTCTGGAGGCCTCCGGCTGCGCGGGAATTTGCAAGTAGTTGTGTAGTACAACAGAAATCCAGCAAACACAAGTTCGAAATAAATTTTGAGACAGAACATCACAGCAAATAGCCAGAACTCGGCATAGTGCTGTAACAAGATATATATATATATATATATATATATATATATATATATATATATATATATATATATATATATATATATATATATATATATATATATATATATATATATATATA